CGACTTGTAAGCTGCGTTGTGGACAGGGTGGAGAAAATTATGGGGATTTTAGCGCGAATTTGTTTTACCCCAGTTTAAACCACCCTCGCAGTCACTGCGTCGCAGCTGTTTGTGGGTTACAAGAGATCATTGATTTTAAATTGACGTATAATTGCTATTTTGGCACCTAGGAGTTACCTGAATTTTGAATCGGTGACGCATCCTGTATAATTTTATTTTTTTATTAATAAACATTCGATTTTCGCTAATATAACGTCATACACGTAGAGTAGGGAGCAAAAGAGACGTGTAATGTTTTACAAAAGTGATTTGCAGGAAGTCAAAGACAAGGACCAGTCCAAATGGTACAAGAGGATGTACGACACGATCCACAAGCAGAAGCCGAAACGAGGTATGAAGCCTTTAAATTGTGCAAAATATTAGAAGAAAAATTATGAATCATGGTAGAGAGAGGATGTAACAATATAAATGTCAGTCTAGAATCCCTTTATTTTGTATATTGTATGAATTCAAAAGTTGGTGATTTCTCTGGCCTCTGGAAATTTCGTGTGTATAAACCTCCCTTTTTTCCAGATGAGTTCGTCACAGTTAGATACAAACAAAAAAGAGGTGAGTGTGCAACATTTACAGTAGTTTCTACGATCTTCTACTTTACGAGCTTATTTTATAGCTGTTATGAATCAGCTAGTTTGAGCTAAAGCCGGAATTAGGAGACTCTCATTGAAAGAAAATGTTATATCCATTAGGTTATGCTTAACAACACATCATCAGGCTGAAATTAGTGCGCAAAATTATATATCTTCTTTTTTTGTTCCTTATGAGTCCATTCAGATAATTAGGAACACCAGCAGGCAGATTCCGTATCAATAGATTTTTCATTAACAAGATTAAACCGGATTTCAAGAATATAAAAAATAAATTTTAATAGATCGGAAGTCCGTAAAAATGATTTTCCAAAATTTCATAGAAATATTTTAGAAACGCAATTAATTTTTTATTTTTTTCACGTGTTTTTGAATTTTTGAGATTCTTCAAAACACTTTTGAGCGACGGATGGAAGAGGTAGTAGATAAATATCTTCATGATAACTTGGTCCCATGGTACAAATAATATTTTTGCCTAGTTCTGCTTAAACGTCGTATTGTTTTCATCGTATTAGCTATTTGCTTATTTTTAGCTTGAAAAGGCTATCGAATAATTGACTAATTAGTAATAAATGGGCCAGAGAAAAAGAATCGCGATACCCCAGAAACGATAATAACTTTTTAACAGATAAGGACCGAGCACTTGAATATGTACTTTTTCGGTACATTTGCCTTATCGACAAACATATTAGATATACACAGTTTTAAAGCAAAGGTGGCAGTGTTTTCAGACACGTCGTTCTGTGTGCAGCCTTTTACCGTTTTTTACGCAATGAATCTGAAATATATCCACGCGATTCGTAGTCACTTTTGCGTTTTTCTGCCGAGTAGTTAACTAAAGTGCTTGGTTGAGTGTTAACATTTCGATTGCCTTTTGCCAAAGTGGATTTGGTTTTTAACAGAGCATTGAAAAGGTGCGTTAGCAAACTTTAGGAGATTGTGCAGGTTGGATAGTTCAAGAAAAAATGTTATTATAAAAAGGCATTATATTCTTTTCATCTGAGCTACTGCCACCTCTGGATATAAAAAAGACCTTTAAAATAATGTGTTCGTTCCAACGTCAAACCACAAACCGGTTTGAAGACTGCGTGAAAAAGCAAACCAAATATACATTATGATTGATGACATTGATCGAAATAAATTAAAATCTTATAATACGTTGTGAATATTTGTTAGCGGTAAAGTACACTTACCTTATGCATAATATAACTTCCACCTGAGCCCGAGCAAAAAGTTATCAGAAAAAAATCTGGTCTCTGTTGTCTTGGAATTAGAGTTAACCAGTGCATTACGTCAAATGTTTTTCAGCACAATATCCCTACACATCCGGATATTTGTCGGAACCGGAACCAGGGGCGTACGACAGCGACTTCACTGAATACAAATACGCCACATTGGACCGCAGACGTCCGCACCAAACGTACGACTATACAACATCCACTATGCCTCGAAATGTACCTGACAAGTAAGTTGTCGAAGGTGTTCTTTAATAACCATCGCATAGTCCGTGGTGCAATACCAGGATAAATTTTTTAAAACAGTAATATGGCTTCAGGATCTTGAAAAATAATCACAGGCATTACTTCAAATGCGGCTGGAGAAGATGGAACCTCATTTCGAGATATAAAAATCTGTTTGCCTTTTTGGTCTGTTGTGCATTAATAAACAAAATCTGGAGAAAACATTCATTAAACCTATTGCCAAGGTGGCCAAGATTTGCGGCCTGTAGGCATACCCCCAGCAGTTTCTAAAATATTAGAACAACATATATGTAAGCAAATTACTAAGTTTTTAGAAAACAATATTCTTATACCAAATTGCCTAACAGGATTTAGAAAACATTTTAGTACCACAACACCACCAGTTGGCATAGTAAATTATGTAAGGTATAGTGAGGAGCAGGGAAATGGTCCTTGCTTAGCTATGCTTGATTTGAGTAAAGCGTTTGACACTTTGAGTCCTAATCTATTATTTGCAAAATTGAAGTATTTTGAACTCTCAAGCGATTTCCTTAAATCTTAGGTAACAGGTAGATACAGTCTAGTTTTAATTACAAAAAGTACAACAACGAACTCTTAGGTACAAACTTTCCAATTTAAGTTGATTAAGCAAGGTGTTCCACAGGGGTCAGTAATTTCACTAATTCTCTTTTCTTTATATGTGTCCGATATGAATGCGAGTGTAACATATTGATTGTTTGTTCATTGTTTGGAACTAGAAGGTCAAACTATCTTGTATACGTTTTGCCCATAACATACCTTACCGTAGTCATATATCTCCTTTTATGAATAGTTTTAATATTTTACAAGTTTGTTTAAAAAGTTATAAAATCAGTTCAACCGGCTTATCTTAATGAGATGTTCCAACTTCTTCCATATTCCCAAAGAACAAGAAATAATCTAACTTACATTGTTCCTCATTTACTTATGTGGCAATAAAGTTTACACAAAATCAATAAAATCTAAACTACTTACAGAACAAAATCTACTTTTAGAATAATTAATTTAAATATTCACTAGCTATTGACAATGACAACTTCACCGTCAATTTGGCTTTGAGTCTCTTTTTCTCCGATTGTTCCCCTCCCCTTGGGGCAAACTCCCGTTCAGTCATGTTTCAAGCAGGCAAATTGAGCTCTACAACATCCTTTTTTTGCTATTTTCATTCCCTCTACAATTAATAGTAACGCGATATATTAGAGCCCTTCTAGCTGCGATGCTGTTGTAAACTCTAGAGCCTTCCCGTGAAGGATTATTATAATCGAGAGTCAAAATTGATTTGTAATATAATTCATGAAATTATATTGCCTTTTTTTTGACAAATAAAAGGTATGTAATAATAATAATAATAATAATAATTATTATTATTATTATATCGAACAGTTAATAGGAGATGTTCTGGGTTCGGTTTTTGGGTAAAGTTCGAACATGAAAACCTCACCTTGATACTTGATATGAGCGCTCCGTGATTCTCAAGGCCAAATTTTGAAAATCTGTCCATTACTTTTTCATTATAATTTTTCGTAGGGCACTTATTTTTAGTATTTTTTACGGTGAATCCGCCAGTTAAGTGTCAAATTGGAATTAGCTTTCCAGATGTAACATAAAATTCTTATTTTCATTGGAAAATCCGTTTTGTTTTAGTTACTTTGTTACTCATCATTTTTTTGTGCCCGCTTCTTTCATTTTCGCTATGTTTCCTTGTTTATCCACGTTCTTGCCTCTTTCAATCAGTCCCCCTTTCATCCAAATGGCCAATCAAACCTTCATATCTATTCCTTCTAGTTTGTGTTCTGTTTTTCCCCTGCAGCATTCTGTTATTGGTTTGTTTTCCAAAATTTCAATTAAACTCAACCAATTTGTAAGAAAGCGAAACTACGCATTCAAAACCATGTACTGTTACAGACAGACAGGGCGTATCAAAAATACGAAATATGATAGATTGTGAAAGTATTGCAATTTTCAGTATGCAGTGTTCCATTTTCACTTTCGGTTTTAAAAATGCAGATCTGAACCTTATTTAAAAAATAATATTGTTATGTATATATGTATTATCGTGCGGTTAGGTTACACATGTAAATTTTGTACAAAAAATCGACATACTGCACCCTAATGTCCATCAAATTTTCTAGATACACGCCTATGCCTTAAAGCTGATTTCGTTTAATATACCACTTACTTTCCATAATTTCTCTCTCGTATCTATATTTTCTGACAATTATAGTTTTTTGAGATTTTAGGAATTTTTGTTTTAGGGCCGACATTCTTATCACACAACGGGATTGTAACTTTACAACGAAAGGAGAGAAAGAACCTTTTGCAACATTGAGAACTTGCTAGTTTCGACGGAAAACCAAAATTTCTTTCAATTTTCAGATCCTATTCGTCATCCGACATCATCCGAAATACTCAGGAAAAGTACCAAAATCAGCCTGGTAGGATAGAAAACTACACTCCCGGGCGTTCATCGATATCCGACAAAGAAGCCAAAAAGGTAGGTCCTACCAATTCTCTCCCCTTCCGCCCTTTCTAACTCCTCGATTCCCTTTCAGTGGTGGGACGAAGTGATGGACATCTTTGACGGGGTACGCAAGTCAGTTTTACTAAATTCTACACCGGTACACGTGTTAGGGCAGGACTAGAAATATGTTTTTGTATAGTTACTAATTTTTGTTTACTAACCCCAACGCGTCAGCGTTTTCCGTAACTAACGTGGCATCATTTTTTATCTCTCGAAGTGGTTAGACGCCAACTCTTCACTCCCCAGCTACGACGTCATGTTCCGAACGGCTATGGCAGTTTCTGTAAGGACTTGGATATTTACCGAGCATGCTCAAATGGCATAATAATATATTCCATTTTTGAAACTTATTTTGCGGTCGGAGAAGTCGTATTATTCTTACACCGTGGATGTTTACCCAATTAACTGCGATAAGAACACCCCTCGATAATAGCACTTCTTAGAACTCGACAGTAAGCATTAAAAAACTTCATATAATGTACAGGGTAAACCGTTTAAAAGGGGCCTATACCTTATATTTTCTTAAAGTACGCGGTACGTTTCGCAAAATGATACTTTTCTCAATTTTCTTAAATGAGACACCCTGTATATTATTGTATTTTCGAATAGCCACTTTAATAGCAATTTCAATTATATAACATAGTACTGGTCTCTGACTTACCGTTATGGCTTAATTGGCGGATAAAATTAAAAACTGGGTATAAGATTTAAATTATTAAGATATGAAACTGGGAATCAGCTCCTTATCAACTTGTTCACAATCGTTTTAGAGCAGCGGTCGCCAACCTGCCGATCGCGAGCTACCAGTAGCAAATTACTTATTTCTACGTTTAAATGTCTACGTGCAATGATTACTAAAAGTTAACACAGAGCGTTCAAACGCGTTGCTGCACATTCAAAACAGTTGACAGTTTATCTTTGTAAACCATATCTTTCAATCTGCCCCACAAAAAAAGTTCATGGGCGTCAAATCTGGAGTCGTCGCCGGCCAGGAGATGGTTCCGTTTTGTCCAATCTACTCTCTGAAATTTTAAAACCATCAGGTGGAGCACCATCTCTTTGGGGAATATTATTATGTATAGGTGGCCGAATTTCATTCCTTAATAAGTTTAAATATCGTACGGATGTTAAATTTTGTTGGTAGAATAAAAGTCCTAAAATTCTAGGTCTCCAGATTGCGCACCATACTTTCACGGATCTTCAAAATTACTTCAAAAACACATTTTTTATTTTCTGAACTCCAATAACGCGCATTTGTTCTATTTAATAACACCGCAGACGTAGTAAATATTGATTCAACGGTCCAAATTATATTCTGAAATATGTTATCTAAAAAATTCGAGTCTTCTTGTAGTTTTTGTACTGGTGTAAATTGAAATGGCATATAACTGTTAATTTTTAAACATGTTTGAAGTGTGGTTCATCTTAGAGCCGGACTTTGGTTATTGGCGATGTAACATTCTAATAAGTCAACTTTTTCCTCCGTCGTATACATTATATAAAATAGACTCAACAAAAATGCTTCATAACTTAATAAGATAAATAGACAATAGAGGAAGTCCGAAAAAATACGCTTAAAATATTATAATACATTGATACCTGCCAAAAAAAGCAGTATTATTACTACAACAGAGAACTACTATTGTTCTCAAAGCTACTACCATGATTATGTCATAAAGTCATTTTAAGGAAAATTACTTTTAAACTAAAATGGTTGCAACACTCAACAACCTCTTTGTACAATTGATAAACTTTACTTATCTCGAATTTCTTCTGGAAATCGTATGTTTCGTTGCCATATCCTTTGTGGAAGTCTTGTGAAAGTAATAACGTTAGAGCATAGTCGACGAACTGTTTTCATTTTTTTGACGAGAAATTATTTCAAATTTGCGAAACGTGGCAACCCCGCGTATTTTAAGAAAATATTTTAAATTTGATCATTGCCTACAGAAAAGCATTATTTTCGTAAAAATAATAGATGTAAAAAAGTTGAAAAAGTTCATAAGCAACCCAACAATGATGGTTTAAACATAAAAAATGCAATCAAATGGAGGTTGTTCTATTTTTAAAAAATGTAACTTTGTTTTGCCACCCTGTAAATAAAAAAGTGATGGTAAGGAAAATAGAAAAATAAAGGTCATTTTAATAGAAACAATTTTTGTATTTAACTTTTTTTTGCAACCCCGTAGGTTCCGAGATAAGGGCCCCTCTTAAACGGGCCACCCTGTACAATTCGTAAGTTTTTGAAAAACGAGTTTAAAATAATATTACAGTTTTAATAAAATAACACACCAAAAATCCCTCGTATACAGAGACGAGACGGCGTTACGAATATAGGAACCCCTCGTAAAAGTAGATAAAATATCTGCCATCGAGATTTAAAACACATCGAACTGTGTAATCTAACTACATCGATGGGGAAGAAAAGTGTCTCTTCTTATCGTGGTTAATGGCGAGTAAATATGTGTATACCGTAAGAAAAACATGCTGGGACATGCTTGCACGGTTCAACTATTGTGTTGGTATGAGAGACTTTGCCCGAAAACTGTGTTGCCAGTTTTCCATGTGAAACGTGTCCATAGCAATCATCCGATACACATATCGTTTATGATGCGAAACGTTAGATATTTTTGAAATGAAAAAGTTTCTTAAATACCTTTTCTCAACCCTTTAATTTTGTTTTCTTTTTGTCGCTTTTTATTTACTATTTTATTGGTTATTCTCATAATTTTTCCCTTTTCTGGAAACATGAGACATGAGCCATTATTTTTTAATATGTAATTAAAAATAAAACGTATAGGTTTTTGTCAATAACATTTAAGATCCATTTTATTTTTAAACTAGACTGAGTGGAACACATTTTTGTTTTGGCAGTGTTTAGCCTCTTTGTACATTTGATAAATTTTCCTTTTCTCCAAGAATTCTGAAGTTCTTCTGGAAATCTTATGTTTTGTTGCCTTTGTCGAAGTCTTGTGAAATAGGATCACGCTAAAGTATAGTCGACGAACTATTTTGATTTTTTTTATCGCAAAATGATTTCAAATTATTGTGTTATTAAAAAAATAGACATGCAAAATACATTTAAAAAAGGACAGTAAAATCAGAAGCTGGGTTTCAATATAACCAAAAAAAATATTTTTTATGGTTTCCAGAAAACGCTGAAAAGGAGCATCGCAAAATTATGCTACTTTAAGGCACTATCTATCTAAAATATACAATGTAATTTGAACCGGACAATACCTACACAAAACCGACCTTAGCAACGATATATTTGATAATTAAAGATAGATACGGAATGATAACAGTTGTAAATCGAATAATTTCAAAGATTTCAAACAATTCGCATGGGTTCCTCACTTCTCACAGCATGTAAATGGCATGAATAACTATTGTACGAATACTTGCAGTTTTTTTCTTTATAATGGGTATTGATGGACGTCACCCAGCGAAAACATCAACGTTTTTTTACCTCCTACCAGCTCATCTATCAACAAATGCTGCAAATATGTACATATTTTTCTTTTCTCTTGATCAGTCTGACGGCGACCCTAGCACCAGGCTCAGCAAAACTAAAATATTTTTATATGAACCTCATAGTTTCAACACAAACTAAGTACATTTGTGGAGAATGGATAAAATGGAACTTTTAGTGACGTTCGTCGAGCCCCATCAAAATTATCCCAGATTAAAATACGTTGTTTTCGCAGCACTTGGAAGAACAAAAACGAGTCCCCACCAAACCAAGGAGTTTTATTAATCAGTAAGCAATATAATATTTTCCAAGTGCCAGGCCGAAGTCCAAGTGTAACATTTCTTTTACCGCAGAGCTCTGAAGGAATCCGGATATGAAAGCGATTCCACGTTGGTGTTTCGAAGGAGAGAGGACAGGGGAGACCAGTTGAGCCCGAAGGAGCAAAAAGAAGCCTACAAAATCATCCAGAAAGGGGGCGACGTGCCTTTTCAGGGCCTCAGGAAGCCAGCTCCGGAAAGACCCAAAGGTAAGAAAGCGGAATTTTGACGAACCCCATCTCAGATTGATTGTCTGTACCTTAGAACATTGAATGTCTCTGCTAACGTCAAAGTATAGGGCGAAATATTGTTGTTCGCTATCTACACGAAAGTCAGTAACAAATACGGGTCTAAGTGTTGCCAGTTTTCTGAAAATTTATTTCTTTTTCACTACTTATTCACTATATTCTGTTACTCATTATGATGCAAATTATGGGCTATTTGGCAGTTTGCAGGAAATGAACTCAAATTGTTATGTTGCTAACAAAAGACATCCAAATGATTAATAATGGTTAATAATTAAAAGTCAGCTTGTTGTCTAATATAAAATTAAAAAAAAATATCAAAATATGGTCAAACTTGCTGACGCATCTAGTACACTGCTTCTGATTTTAATATAAATTCTTATTCGTGTTATTATTTATAAGTGTTTTATTAAAAACCTGATACTTACATTACACATTTTATTTGAACTTAATATTGTGGCACTTACCAAAAGAGTTACTTATTTCAAGTTTAATTTCACCATGATTTTTTATAACTGTATTCAGAAAAATAATGCGTTTTAAAATGAACAAAAAATCACCTTGTAATAAATCAACTCTTTTCTACAATCATTATATTTTATAAAAACTTGATTATAAAATCAGTACGTTGTAAAAAAACCTAAATTAATATTGCATGTTCCTGAAACTAAAAAATAAGGCTTTCTACTCTAAGAAGAGCATTAAGAGAAAAAGGTATATTACTTAGAATTTATAATTGTTCGTTTTGAATCTAAAACATGTTTAAATTGTTATTTTAAGCATTTAAAACAATATTTGGTGACGCTTATTTTATTATCTGTGTCATTATAATTTAAATGATTTTCTTTTCAAATCAGCTGTATACAATACTTTTGTTTTACTAAGAATAAGTAATAAAAATTATCATGCACAAGAATATATTATAAAATAATATTGACTTGTTGAAAAGCACCAATGAGGCGAAATCATATTTAATTTTCATCAAATCTTTAGCGTATTTTTTTAATTTTATAACGTAATATAATATAATAATAATAATAATAATAATAATGCTTAGAAACTTATTTCCTGATAATCATTGATATTTTCAATCTTTATTCGGTCACGTGACAGCAACTTTAACTATTTCTTTTTAATAAATAATTCTTTATAAATATAATTAGACCAATGTCAATTAATAATGCAGAACCCATTAGCCTTCAGGACATTAATGAATATCCAATTGCCAAATAGCCTATAGCTCACTAAATAATGTTTAAATTTTACTTCCACCACACAGCCGTGTTTGTCCTGAATTTACGCATCTATGATCTAAGGTCCATATAAAATAATGACAAAATAATTAAAAACAGATAACGATCCGTTTTCAATTAACAGCATGCGGTTTTTGGTTTTTTACTCAACCCTGTGCTAAGGTGGTGGGCGCGACTTAATCGAAAAGGTTTGTAATAGTCACTCACATCCATACCATCACACAATCCGAACGGGACGGTGCACCTGCGCACGGCTAACAAAAACCAGAGGCTTCCGTTTAAAAAAAATGTGGGTATTTCGCAGAAACGGACATTGTCGAGTTCTTCCCGCTGTCGCCTACTCTGACGCGCATCAGGATCCATAAGAACATCGTCCCCCAAAAGGAAATATTCTGCTATCCCGTGACCGTACAACACAACGCTCCCAAAACGTTCGCGAGCTACAAGCGACTCGCGCCATCTTCGATCACGATACCCAAAATCGCCACGCCGCCCCTCGAAAGAGCCCCCTCGCCGCCGAAGCGAAAGTCTTCGAGAAACAACACGACCTTGAGGCTTATAAGCACGATGAGAGTAAAGACCGATAAGTCTCCCGCGTGCAAAAGACACGAAACGTGCTTCAGCCCAAGCGACGACAGAACCAAAGTGAATTACCTCAGGGATAAAATCACTTGCAAGCTTTCGCCCGCCAGCAAGAAAAAAATTAGCGTGGTGAAAAAGGTGGCAGCTTCGCCGGACCTAAAGTCCAAAATAACGTCCACTTTGACCACTTCCAAAGACGCCAAGTCGTCCGTGAGGAAAATTCAGAGCACCACGAAAGTGAGCAACGGTTCCAAGACGCGAACCAAGTCGGTGGGTTCGTCCCTCAACAGTTTGAGCAAGAGGAGCAGCGCCGAAAGCCTATCGTCTCGTACCTCGACTCCCGTCAAGACGTTCGGCAGCGAAAAGAAAAGATTCGATTTCGTCTTGCCCAATTCCAAATTTAAATTGGCGAAATGCGACTCGGAAGAGCTCTTGTCGCCTACGGAGGTGCAGAAAGCCGTGAGAAATATCCCCTCGAGCGCGTACTACAAGAAGTCGTTTGTTCCCTTGTCCTCCAGCAACGTGCTGCCTATTAAGGTGGGAATTACCGAGAAAGGTAAAACCATACTTAAGTCTTCTACGAAAAGGGCCGTCTCGCTTTCTCCTAAGACTACGAGGAAAACTCCCAGCCCTTCCGCAGGTACTTCTGGCAAGCTGAAAACGTCGAATCCGACGAGCTCCAAAACCGCTGCGAAACAAATCGAAAAAGTGTCCGAATCCGCCAAGAAACTCGTCAAGAAAACAGACGCAAAGTGCCTCAGCAAAGCGACCGGCGCTGAAGTAGCTAAACAGCTCGACCGATCCGAGATCGTCAAGCAAAAAGAAGCTATAGAGTCCGACCATTTCTTCAGGCACTTGTTCCTGCGAAATGTCCATCCCTCCGCTTCGTTCGTAATGCCGAGAAGTTCGTGGATAGCGGAGAGGACCAACCAACTCATCAGGAGAAGGAACTCCGTTTCCGAGCCGAGCATAGGAGCGATGAAGATCTACTTGAAACACACCAAACCGGTCACGGATTCCAAGTTCATCAGTTTAGACGTCATCAGGTCGCGAAGCGCGAGTCCCAAGTCGGTGACGTTCAGCGACACAGTGGCGGCGAAACGGAGCAAAAGTCTACCGGCAAAAATGGTATTTTCGCAAACCTCGAGGCCGGTGTCCCCCGTTGTCACCAGGAAACCCAAATCTCCGAACAGGAACAACTTGGTCACCATTAAACGAAGTCCCAGTCCCCAAACGAAGTTGTTCTTCTCCGAAACCAGCCGGCCCGTATCGCCCATGCTGGGGCGGTCTCCATCGTCTCGAAGAATTAAGCAAATTAAGCAACTTACCGATGAAAAGAAATCTTGCGAGTTGACTTTGTACACGTGCCCCGCCTTAAACTATAGCACCACGTCTCTGGATTCGTTCAGAAGCGACGACTATCAGATTTACATGAGAGAGCTCGGCGGGTCCAGGACAAGCGAGAAGTTTAAAGACCTGAACCATTTTTATAGCGAGATAGAAAAGGTCGGTAGATTGGAGAAGACGTTCTCGCTAAAGCCACGTCGAAGGTGCGAGGGCGAGATTATAGATTACGACAGGTGGATGGAGGTTCGAATGAGGGAAAAGGCGGAAAATGAACTTAGACATTTGTACAACCACCTGAAACAGGACGAGAAAGACAAGGGCTTCTTGTACCTCCCGAAAGATGTGGACAGGTTCAAATGGAGACGGGAATTAGACGGCGGGCTAAGAATCAAGGAGAAGTCTGTGGAGAACATCAAGGAGGAATTCGAACGTATCAAAAGAGAGGACAGCGAGAGAGAAAACGCGAGGCGACGTGAATTAGCTTACAGCAAGGACACTTACAAACCCTTGTGGCGGGGCAATTCGGTTCTGAGCCTCGCAAGTATTCTCACCGAAAGGCGAAGCCTTTCCGAGGGCAGAATTAAAAGTGCCAAGCAACACTTGGCAGATGACGAGGGCATTCTAAATAACGGATTCGGGAGTCGGATTTGGAGTAGCTTATCGACCCAGCAGGTTAGCAACCTGAAACGACAGCTGCAGGAGATTTACGGCGAGGAATCAATACCAAAAGCTCGCGATTACATCGTCGAAGTGCCGCGGGTTGAGAGAGAGGCGTACGCACCGAAACTCACGGTCAGACGCAACTCTGAGAGTGCGAAGCCCGATCTCATGTCGGAAGACGAGAAGAAACTGATCTCGCACACTCTGAGCAAAGAAGTTTTGGAGAAAATCGCGACGAAGAGGAGGGAAAATAAGATCGCCTTGCCTTTGGTGGTGGGCAAGGAAATTCTAGGCGCTGTGGCTGCCAAAGAAGCGAAGATCAAGCCCGCCGCTAAGCGGCAAGAACCGCCGAGAGCTCTAGTGAAAACGGACGCCCTAAGGCAACCATCGGCGAGCGAGACAGAGTCCGGGAGCACGGACGAGTCCACGAGAACCGTAATCGAAAACAAAGACATCAAGCAAAAGGTCGAGTACTTCGAGAAGGCCAAAGAACTCGAAGCTTATGTTCCCACTGTATACAAGCCGGCGGATGAAGACCGCAGCTCCGCGGAGGACCAAGAAACAGCGTCGCCTGTCCATTCCCACTCTTGCCAAGATCTTAAGGAGTATTTCGGTCAGACGGATCTTGTAAAGTTCGCTACCATACCGTTGGCTGCCACTAGAAAAGCGGATCAAAGCTACACCAAGAAACCCAACCTACGATCTTTGGACATGAGCCCCATCCGAACGATTTCGGAGGCTAACTCGTTTGATAGCCTCATTAGAAGTCGGTCCGTGTCTCCTTTTTCCGAAGAGGCGAGGGCACTAGCTAAAAAAGGAGAAGTGAGCAGGCTCAAAAAGCAATTCGAGTATCTCGAAGACTTCTTTGGCGAAAGGAGTCTAAAGAGATCGCGGAGCGAGAATGATCTGGGCATGTACGGTCACGTTGAGGATATGCGGAGGAAATACGAATACCCGGCACATTCGGGAAGGGGGCGGAGCAGAACCAGAAGAGGAGGAGTAGTGTCTCCGGTTTACTTGAGAGCGGAGGACAGATACATGCCCCATATCAACATAATTAGCAAGATCGCCACGTTGTATTCTCGTACCAAAAAGAACACGAAGGAATCGACTCGGAACGTCGAAGAGTTGGCTCAAATTCTTGGATGTCCGGTGGGCGAGGTGGAGAAAATGAAAGAGAAATTTGATAGGCTAAAAGAGAGACAGGACGATATCTCGCTCATTGGACACATGTATACATCGTCGCCTAGTTTGAAAGAGCTGAGGGATATTACCCCTTACCTTACTGCCAACTGGATCGCTCACAAATATCCTAGGTCCGAAGACAACACTAGGTCGCTGTCCTCTCCGGAGACTTCTTTGGCTTCCAGAGATATGTCTTTGGTTAGAAGAGATCGACTGCGGTCCAGTTCAACGTCTCCCAGTAAAAAGGGACAGTCCATTCTTAAACGCAGGGAAGCCGGACAGAGAATCGATGATAAGTTGAAGAGGTTTGAGCCAGTAAGGTATTCTAAAGGTGGGGTTTTGAGGATCAGTTACATTTCGAACTTTCTTGTGGTAGAATTTCTTCACCAAATTAAACGCGCAACAATGTAGAAGTGTAAGGGTATCGTTTGTGCTATGGTTATGTAACCTTTATTGCCTTTTTAATCCATGGAACTATTCAAGTCTACTAACTGTTAAGTTAGTGAGTCTTAATCAGATCCATAATAATAATGCTAGGAAATTCGTTCCTCAAAAGCTTTTTTCGTTCGTGTCCGTGGAATATTCCATAGGTCCTAATTGCCGATGCCTATTGCTATTAAATGTAACCAGGCAACTTTGCCGTTTGATCAAATATTTCAAGCACTACCTGCCTATGCGAGATTTTTCTACTCCTTCTTAGCAAACAGTTACGCCTCGTTTCAGTTCAGCTCTGGCTGATTTGGAATAGTTTTTACTGCCTTAAAGAAACATATTTAGATATTACTTCTTGAAACAGGTGTTACCTATTCTTCTAATATTCTTCTATTATTTTTTTTTTTTTAATGAGATCGCACAAGCTCAAAGGATACCCTTTTCTGCAATGTATACCGGTTACGGTTGATTGGAAAGCTATTGGTCGTTGATAAACCTAATTTTGGAAATTCAGTCAACCAATTTTCGGCACAAGTAGGAAGAAGGTAACGATCACCCTCACATACCGTAGTCGTACACCCTACATAAAACACACCAAGCTTCATGGTGCATGCGCTTTGCTACGTAGTGTTCGATATGGAGGACAGCTAGCAATAGGTTGCAGTCAAAGTGACATTTAAGTCATGTAACAAGTGACGTCAGCTTACTACTAGTTTTCTCCAAATTAGTGTATTTTGCGAATGACTCACGATTGCATTTTGTGATTCCGATTAGAACCAGATTTACCCCCACCACCGCCGCCCCCAAAAGGACAGGGAGGAGTAAGAAGCCAAGAACTGTCAGGTAACATGCGCTTTTAGTAAAACTACCTTATCGCCCGCTCCGATGTTATCTAGAGATGGAAAACCTTGCCTTATTTACCATACGACAATAAAATTGTTTAATAGCGGCAGTTGAGAGTGGGGTGCCATGTTGTAACGAAAATAGTCGATATTTTACTTAACGTAACTATAATAAGAGCCGGGCTGTGCCAGTTTACGCCGTATCTATGTTTAGATTTTATCAACTTTTCCACGTAAATACGAATTCAGTTTTAACCGAACTCACCTCTGTTAAAGTCAAGTAAGCATAAATGTCACGCGTTGTTTTTTTTTCTTAAACACAATTTTGTTTTGAATATGTGTTGCCTTTCCCCGTAGACCTTTGCTACGTTAGTTTGGAATCGTCTGCGAGCGATGCCCAAAATATTTTTGTTTATGACGTGGACTTTTTTCGAAAATTATTATTAACTGAACTTTTGCACTGATGCTTTGCCCAGATATATCATTTCTAATATACTTTTTCCTAAATCGTCTCATTTATAATTTCGAACGTAACACAATTTGGATTCTACCATGTCAAATTTGGTAATAATAATAATCTTGAATAGGAATGCTTCTTGTGTAATACAAACTATTCTAGAGAAATCTGGCATCAAGCAAGTAAGCAATTACAAAATGATAAGAATAGTAATAATTAAAAAGGCAAGCGACAACACTTCCTTTTAGAATACTCTATTACACTATAAATAAAACCAAGTTAAATTTAAAAAAGGAACTTTTTTATAATAATCGGGAATGCGGATATAAAAATAATAAAATCTTTATATATTCTCGACTGTGCCTGACAAGGTGATGAATTGTTGTGGCCAAACAGGCAACTAAGGATTTTTTTACGAAAATGTGTTATATTAAATGTATATTAATAAAAACAAGACGTACGGCTAACATTGCGGTAATAGATTTTTTTTTTAATGTTGACTAAACATAATTTTATTTATATAGGGCTTGTTTTACAGATTTTTTTCTAACTGTAGTGGTTAATCATTACAAAAATCCTAATAAATAAATTAAAATCATTACAAAAATTGGTACAAGACAGCGGTTACTGCATTTTCAAAATAATTGTGATTTTTATATTTAAAACTTTTCACGCAATTTTCAATGAAAGTAAAAACTGTTCAAAATCGAATTCTTTTGATAGGGCAAATGAGAAATAAGAAAACAGATTGTATTATTTAAAAAAGCGAGGTACCTATATTTAAATTCGTAAAATTTGTAAACTTATAAGAATCACCGGGATGACCATCATCATCAAATTTTGAAAAATATAATAGTTATCAAAATATAAATAATACTATAAATCTTCTGCTTTTAATTTGAGTGCTATGTTTTTATTAAGTGGAACTTTTATATCTGAAAAGAACCAGAAAATAATTTAACACTCTTTAAATATTTAGGATTATACCGGGTAATGTCACAAAAGTATGGCTTGAAAAAGCATACATTTTTAAATGCAATATGTACTGCGTAAATAGTCATAATAAAACATAATTTCATTTACAAGACTCTGTGCCATCATTCGTCGATGATATACCGAACCTTTTTTCTTGTGAGTCTATATTGGGTCGCACTATTTCCTACGTGCCTTCTAGAGGTTCTATTTTGTGACTACCGAGATTTTTTGTTAATGCGGATTGATAAAAGACCTTTTATGTTAACGAAAGTCAGACTCAACCTGCAAAAGCGGTTTGGAAAAAAGAAAAAGAATATTAATATAGGAAAATAGCACCATGTAAAACCACTACTAGTTTACCCAATATCAACTGTATCAAAAAGATTTATAGTAACATATAGAATTCATAAATAAAGTGACTTACTTTTTCGCACCATACTTTTGTGGCGCTCCTTGTACAACTTTAAATTGTCTCTTTCTGACCTGTCTTGTTAAGATAAATTTTGTAATTAAAGATGCCCCGCAAGCGCTTTGTTTTTGATAAATGAAGAAAAAGAAAAATTAACAATTTTTAGTAATTTTGATAATTCTAGTTAAGAATTAAAAAGTTTTTTTAAGTAACCGATTTCAATGGAAAATGGTCAAAAAGTAATGTCCAAAATTTTGTTTTTTTTTTTAATGGATTTATTAGTTACTAAAAAAGCAGGAAATACATGTGAATTTCAAGAATAATATAAATTCTCGAAGATACTGCTAGTGTACATTTTTCCTTCAAAAATAGTCTAAACTATTTACGGATGCCATTGGTTTTTTTTTTAATCTTCAGTACCGGAAAATGCCGTTTGATGCTGAAAAGTTGTGTACTAAATTTGATTGTTAAACAATGTAAAGCGATATTAACCCGTAACTGGTAAGATCCACATATTTGATGAAATTTTTATTTTAATTGAAAAATCGACTTTAACTTAAAGAAATTTATTTTCTCATGAAAAAAAAAACAAAAAAATTTAGGATAACAACCATGCTTGGAAGCTGACTTGCCTTGGAATTTGAGCAATATTTAGTCTTCTTTTCTACTATTATCAAACTCAATATTTTTTTGTTCTCTTCACAGCACTATTCTAGTGCAGTTCGATATCTGAAGTATCTCCAAATCCGAATAAAGAAGTGTCCGCCATTAACAAAAAAAATATTTTTACTTGAGTGTTGACCATGTGTGGCAGTGTCAATGATGTATCGTTTGATGCGGAAGAGGTTGTGAAAAGTGTGTATGAAACTTTAATCAGTAGTGGACCTATTAAACAAGAAGCTTTAAAAGAAACCTGATCAGTACCTGAGTGATCAGTGCAGAATAAGAAGGAAAATATCAAAACAAAGTTGTTCCTACCTTGGATAAACTGAAAAAGAAGCTAGAAGATGTAACCACCAATATAATAATAAGTCGTGCCACTCTCCATAAAGTTGTTTGTAATATAGGATTTAAGTACCGCAAAATAGACAAAAGGCAAGTAGTAAAGGAGTCACACAGATTACGCATTTAGAGATTTAATTATCTTCAAAAAATTAAAACATATAGATTAAACAACAGATCCATAATTTACCTTGATGAAACATGGCTCGATACACAAGACACTGCATCCAAAGGATAGGTTGATTCCTCTCAAAACTTCTTCACATTCAAATAAAGGAAAACGCATCACCATAATACTATCCGGATCAAAAAACGGATTTGTCACAAACTGCTTGCTGTTGAAGCAAAGAATATTAAGGATTCTAGCTTGGATTATCATCATAAAGATACAAGTGCCAAACTTTTTGAGAATTGATTTCAAAACAATCTTTTAGGAAATATTCCCATTAACAATATTATTTTTATGGATAACGCAAGCTACCGTAGCTGTTTACTAAGCAAAGCATCAGCCTCATCACGTTCAAAAACTGAAATTCAATAATATTTGTTAAAAAATGATATTTATTTTGAATTCAATTACAAAATGCGCAATTTTTGGAAGTCCTAAATTAATCTACAATTAAAAAATAGTATACTGGTTTACGTCTTCCTCCATATCATTGCATGTTTAACCGCATAGAGCAATTGTGGGACTAGATAAACTCAAAGATCAGGGCCGAAAATTTTACTCCTACTTTATGTACCAGCTGGACAAATTCAATTCAAAATAATGTGCTCTAGTATGAAAGTTGTGGAATGTTGCATTTCTATACAAAACAATATAAATCCCATTATAACTAGTCTCAATAACGACTCTGAGAGTGAAACAGAATTAGATTTGGACATTTAGAATAAAAATTTAATTATGTATAGATATTCCTAGCTACGAATTTAATGAACATATTTTATGTCACGGTTTTTTCTTAGTGTAAGATTATACTCAAACAAATAAAAAAAAAATATTATAACCAAAACCTTTGAGAGTCCGTCCCTAATGTTCTACCCTTCAATACCTAGCGGACCCGAGTTTTATTGCTTTGGCTGGTAACTTCCATAATTGCGGACAAAAGCCAGCGCGATGAAGATTGCGATAGACTATACGATTTGCGATTGCATAGTCGCTCATAAAAACAAGAGAGAAGATGCCTCAGTATATTTACCTGTCTCCACTCGTATAATAAAAATGGCAAAACCCACCTATTTACCTCTTAGTGTTCTTCCTTTTTTTATTACGCCCCGATGTCGTACACTCGACAGAGATAGCACCAATTACCTGATAATTACAGTAGTTTCCACTAAACAAATTTTTCCAGCTGCCAATGAGTATGTTATTAATTACATTTTTTATCAAATTTATAAGACTTGGACTTAAAGTAGGAGTAACATTTTCTGCTCTGACCTTTAATTTTACTGTGTTTCACAAATACTCTGTTTGGTTAAACATGCTATGATATGGAGAAAGTCGTAAAACAGTATGCCCATCCTGTTCAATCAAATTATCGCATACATACTGTTTTTTATTTGCATATGAATTTAGGACTTCGAAAATGTGCGGCTTTTTTGCAACTGCATTCAAAATTAATATCATTTTGTAACAAGTTTTCCTGGATTTCAATTTTTGAAATGAATGAGGCTGGTGCTTTGCATAGCAGACGACTGTGGTAGTTATTGGGATTATTTTTTAAAAGATTGTTTTGAAACCAATTTTCAAACAGCAAGCAGTTTGGGACAAATCCGAGCGTGTATTATGGTGATGCGTTTTCCTTTATTTGAAGGTGTTTTCGTCTGACAGTTTTGGTTAGTAGAATCAACCTATCCTTTCGATACAGTGTCCTGTATATCGAGCCATGTTTCATCAATGTAATCTATATCTTTTAATGCCTTGATGATTCCATTACTACTTGCCTTTTGTCTATTTTGCGGTACTTAAATCCCATTTTACAAACAACTCTACGGAAGGTGTCACGGCTTATGTTTATATTGGTTTCGTCTTCTTCTAGCTTCTTTTTCGGTTTATCCGAGGTAGGAACAACTCCGCTTTGACAAAGACGATATATTATCCTTCTTATTAGATCCTGATGACTGTTGTCTGCACGGTGACTTTGAAAATAACGACGTT